CGCAAATTATACTCTTTGGTACAAGGGACCACATTAAAAATTAACAAATTAATCAGGATTTCACTGATTCTTCCATTCAATACATACATATCTTAAATTTAAAGCACAGATATCAGACATATTCATTCTAACCAAGACTATTGTTGAACATTACAATAAGAAAAAAGGAAACTGCTAAAATCTGAAAAAGACGTGCAAAATGCGAACTGTTATTTTGAAATATCCTGGATATTTATCGCTCTGAATCTACAAAGTGCTCTTTCCAGCTCATGAATCAAGAGGGTTTTTACCATCCCTGATTACGGTCACATATAAAGGTAGAGATTCTATGAACTATACACAGCTTAACCAACACAACAGTGTCAGAAGTGGGCACTGGCACGAAGAGTTCTGCCTTTCCTGTGTGGCACAGGTTTGTAAGGAGCACTTGTGACTGAGATCTCGAGCTGACATTCTGGCAAGCTCAGAGGTTTGCTTCCCTACCAATCTGTTTGGTTTGTACAGATCATTGGTGGCTCTAACAACCTGTTTCAAAGATCTGTTCTGCCTGATTTTGCTTGTCCAACCTCTGTGGCAATAGAAATCCAGCAGGAGCTGGAAAAATCCAACAATACTGACATGAGAATAGAGCAGTGTGGTACCATAGCGAGAACAACTCTTAAATTACTATAATAAATTAGAACTTAACAGAAAAAAAATTATGTAATGCAGTGGTTATAGTGTTAAATATTTTATCTCTAATTCTATGTGATAGCACCCCATAAACTTACCCACCTAAAATCAGGTTGTTCTTCTGTTAGAGCCTTTTAAAAGTGGTATTGACAGGTATTTTCGGGAAAATCATCTCAGTAATTTTTGTAAACTCTGTGGCTACTGTGTATCAGCCTGCAAAGGGAAAAATCCAAATGTAATACTGAATTATTGGACAAGTACTAATTTCCGCATACATTATGTAATTCATCAGAATTTTCCCGGGGGTGCTGTAGGACTCCAAATCTACATCTGTGAGGCTTAGAACACACCAGCAATAAAACAGTGCCATTAACCAAACTTCTGCTGCATTGCTGCATTGTTTTATTATGGTTTAACCTGTGTAGTGCAAACTGGACATAATGATTCATAATATGTTCTAGACAGAAATGTAAGGACATTTTCAAGTTTAAAATAATAATTTCAAAAGATGTTCCCTTTCTTCTCTTTCTATTCCATCCCTTTTGGTCTCTCTTGTCACAGATATCATCAGAGTATCTGTGATAATGACATTTCTAGGCAGTTCTTGTTCTCTGGAATATACTTCCTCTGTCTCTCTGCTTAAATGATTATTCATCCTTGTCAAACATGCAGATTTTGTTATTATGTATCAAACATCCTAAAAAGGTTTTCATGTAATAGTATTAAAATTATTCAGAACAGGATTTTGTTTCGAAGATACTAAACAAAATGAAATTGTTCCATAGGGCAATTGCAGAATCATACAGATAAGGCCTTATGACTCAGCTGATAGGCATTTATAGCAGCAATGAGAGAGCAGCAATTAAGAACACAGAGATGCATCTTCCATTTGCAAATGCACCAAATACTCTTACAAATAACATTGCACAGGAAATACGGGATCCATTACTTTGGCTTTTAAAGGTAAGAAGGTGAGCTAATTTTTTTGTGTTGGTTTAGCCAAGTACATTTTAGTACAGGTTAATTTGATTGAGAATTCTGTAGCTCACGTCGCCTATAACAAAGGCCAGAATGAAAGAAAATTGTGTTAAGCCGTTATTATTACCTCAACTTCCAATAAAGGCATAATCATAAGTGACCAAAATATGGTGACTGGAAGCTTAAACAGCTCATTTGGGGGAATCAAACAGTAAAAGTTCTTACCAAAGACAAAGAATTCCCAAATTTGGTAATACCAGAATTCAAATACAATATTATACACAATAAAGCCCTTTTAATACATACTAAAGCAATTTATGTGATAAAATACAACGGGCACTAGATGCCTCAAAAGGGTTAATTGGTACCTGTTCATTACAACCAGAATCTGTCTAATAGTCTGAGAAATATTATCTGAATCCACTGAGAGACCTGCAGTTTCAAATCAAAATGAAGTTTAGAGGTAGAAGTAACCTTAAGCAGAAATGCTATTGAAAGTAGAATAGCGTCTGAGTGAATAGTTTTTGAGTTTGATTTTATTTTTACTCATGCTTTGTATACATTTTCTGTTTGGCATAAATGGAATTTGCATGTTTAAAAGAACAAATTTCATTTATAAAAAGGGAGGCTCAGTATCAACAATTAGACTTCTAGATAAAACTGAAAACAAAACCCGCAACAAAATATACCCCAAAAAACCCAACAAGCCCCACTAACAGTAATATCTGCAGGCTGTGCTGGAGGTGGGAAAAACTGCACCTGCTCCTCCATGCCCGGGTTAAACCCCTTAGCCAAAGAGAATAAAATGGATGAAGTTTACAGATTTCTTGTGGCACCTCTGGCTACGACATTCTGACACTGCATTAGCTGGAGGTACCTCTGAACTACGTACAGCAACCCACGTATAACAGTCAAACTGGAAACAGCTTGCTAATTACCAGACTCCTCCTCAATAAAGAAATCGCTTTCTTTAGCTGGAAGAAATTACTGTTCACAGGCTGCCAATGAGTTTTTCCGGACTCATGAAAGCACTTGAGTTCAGTCATATTAATTACAAGAGGACTCGCACCCCTTAACAAAGAGCAAATTGGCAAATGGATTTAAAACAACCATAGCGAAGTGTGCTCATGGAACAGAGCTACTTTTAAAAAATGCCTTAAGTGGGTATGCTTGAACACAAAGACGTAATAAAAACAGTTTATTGCTAAGTGCTCCATCTTTTCTAAAGATAAATATCAGCGGCAATAAATAAACTGCTTCGACATATCATTTGCTCAGCAATTTCCTTTAAAAATAACCACACAAAAATAAACAAAGAAATGCACTTTCTTGCTACAGGTAATGGCGCACTCCATATTAACATTTTAGACAGGAGAATAATTAGCAGAAGCAGGCTACTGGAGATAAATCAGATTACAAAAAATGCAAACTTTAATATGTCACTTGAGAGATGCTGTCTGTTGTGTTTTCAGTTCTGCTTCTTTAGGTGGAACAGAGGAATATTGCACTGTGTTAAACTAATCTTACAATTATGAATCAAATGGGTTTCTTATCATTGTTAAGCATTTGCCTATTACAACAGATGACAAGTCATATTCTTGAACAGTTACACTCTGTTCACTTGGAATGCATTGAACCGATATATTTAGAAATAAATGAGAATTAATTTGATATTACTGATACTGTCAAGGCTATTATTAATAATTGGCTGTGCTTCTAAATGCATCCTCTGCATTCATTTTCAGTGCTGGGTCCTCATGCACACAAAATATACTTAGTCATTTTAAAGCCAAGGACATGAAAGGAAAATGGCTTCCCTGCTGCAAAAGTCTCATTGCAGTAGTGAGAATTTCTCAAGTCACGTACAAAAGGGATCGACACGGAGATACACTACGTTATAAGCTCAGTGGAGACATTTAGTAACATCTGATTTTGCATAGGCAGTTACCTGTGGTACACATATGATTTTACTTAACTGACACTGTAAAAAATAGTAGCTAAAAATAGAAATAAAGAATTATAATACTTAAATTTTGCAAAATCTGTAAGGTCTGCAAATTACCGCAGACCACAAGTGACCTTATTCTCTGAAGGTTTGTTTAAGGTCTGACAGGAGTTCTTTGCAGTATGCTTAAAAACAGTTCTGTACCTGCACTTCAGTATTTAAAGAAAGCTTTATTAGCATTACTGTGGCTGAATTCAGAAAAAGTGAAAGAAGGTTTAAACATACTTCTGATTCTCTAAATTTCTCAGCTGCTAAATATTTTAGTAATATTTTTATACTTGTGATAATGAAACTATCTCTTTATATACACATAGTACAAACCTTGACCTACATGCAAGGCGAGGCTAAATTAAAAAAAGAAACCAGGGTACGTTTCTGGGAACAACCATTGCAAAACAGGAATAAAACAGGTTTTTGTGTGTACAGCCTTATAAACATGGCATCGTTTAAGAACTGATAGACACATGGAAACATAAAATGAGATCAGTTCTCAGTTAGAACTAGGAGGAAACAACCATTTCCATTTGCATTGTGATATTGCTATTAAAGAGAATAACATCTTTCTACATCTCTACCATTGAACCTTTTAAAAGGATTTGGTTGCCAAGGAAACTGGTTCTGGCCCAGTATTAATCTGAAACAAACATATTACAAAAGTTGGGGTAAGTAATACAGTACTCATAATTATTTTTATTCTTAATGCTCAAATTCAGATTTTTGTATTTAAGGCTGTTAAGTTTTCACTTCATAATCTTTTTTGTGTGAAGTAAAAACACAGTGAACTGATACTCAGTTTAAGCTGACAGGGCCATCTATATCAATCTTTCTCTTTAAAATCCTTCTATCTTTAAATAAAAAGAAATACTGGAGTTTTATGTTTGTAGCTAATACTGAAAATACAAGCATTAAAACATATTATTCTTTATTTAATATTTCGCACAAAACACAAAACCGCTCACGACAGAATTTAAATATTTTTCATTTTTCTAATCTATCTCAATTGTTATTTCTGCATTTTATCTTCAAGCTTAGTAATGCTTATAGTCAGCTTTAAAATGTAATGGAATCAATAGGGTTTTCAAAAATTCTTTTGTTGCATAAGCGTTGCCACGCCCTTAGTACATATGATTATTTTAACAGACATGATTGCTCCACTTTCACAATAGATTTGAAAAAAACAGATATGAGTAACTGTCATGCCATTATGTGAAGCCAACAATTTAATATAGGTTGTTTTCATTAACAGTTAAGTACATTTTTAAACTGAAAGCTACATTCCAAAGCCCATTTCATGTTCTTGCAACACTGACCAAGAAAACAGTAAAACATGCAAATCTCAACCTACCTGCATGTACCACTTAGAGCAGTGTTAGCATGGCAATGCACCCAGCCATTTTTATGTAAAGCGATGGAGATAAGTTCTATTCTTGATCTTCTTGATAATTTTTTAGAAGCAGTTGTCAAAATTCAGATGAGAAGCAGCTTGAATAGACCGTGATCAGGAGAACTGAGTTTATCAACAGGGAAAGCAGGAGTGGGAAAAAAAAAACAAACACGTCCTCATCCAAGGTTTTCCGAAACTGCAACACAAGGTTGGCTTTTTTTTTTTCTCCTCCTCAGAGGGTTCAAAGCTTGAAGCTGACCACTGCAAAGGCCACTTGTCACATTTACTGAAAATCAACCTATTGATATCACAGCTGAAAATATAAACTCGACAACCAAAGCCCATTGCACAACGTGGACTGCGTAAGAGTTAAAAATAGATTCGACGTGCCTCCTACCTGCATAATAAATATGTAAGTTTCAAGTGCTTTAATTCGATATTCACATTAATTAACAATACAATATACATTATTTAAACTACAGTAAACGCAAGAAGAAAAAGGGTGACACCATCTGGAAGCACAGTTTGCTTTTTTTTTCTCCCTTTCCAAGGGCTAATAATGTAGTTTGAATGTGATGACAAGCTAACAGCTCACCACATTGCAAATGAAAAAAGACTTCTTAAGGTGATGCTCAAATATCTAAGCCTGTAATGAAGCACAAACCACTCTTCACTACTGCATGACATGGCACACAGACCATTTACATACTCACATTTGAGATACTAGGCACAGTATAATGAATTCAATACACAGCATGCACACAGCACAAGCAACGTTAATCCTGCCTGCCATTTTAGGCTTGCAGGAGTAAGATACATACTGCAGCACAGCTCTGGTAAGGGAGGAGGCAAGGGACAGCTCACCTTAAATGCAGTATCTGATTAATGTTGTAAGTGACATTGCGTATCAGCTACAGAGTCTTGGTTCAACTGGGTGGGAGGGAACAAAGAAAATTGTCATCAACTGGTGATGCAAGATGAGCTCCAGTCACTAACACTGTTAGCAAACTCCAAATTCTACAATGATACAGTAGTAAGCATTTCAAACTCTTATCAAAATCTGCTTGTGCAATGGCTGAGTCGCCTGCCGAGGAAAACAAAACAGTCTTCTTGCTTATTGGAGAAGCGCTGCAGCGACTACAGTAACATCCTCTCGATGCAGAAAGATTTCACGTCGCACATATTAAATCCTGGATGCATTTGCTGTGCTTTCTCAATTTTTAAGTCTCTGAATTAAAAAATAAAATAAAAAGCCAATGATAGCAGAAATAGTAGAGCTAAAAGTCTAATGTTCAGACAAATAAAACATTTCTTTTTCTTTCCTTTCTGTTTTCTCTCTTTTACAGTCCATCAAAATCCTGAGCAGTATTGACAAACCACACGAGCACCGGGTCTGACTGCATGATCAGCTGTCTGTGTCTACGCTACACCCTGTTAACCACAAGCAGTGTTAGAGCTAAATATATCTGCAATGCAGAAACGGTAGGTGCTATGTGGCATACAATTCTGATCAGTTTTAAGACATTTTGCTATCCTCAGATATAATAAATAAAAGAAAATTTGGTGCTGATCTCTGTCAAGCACGGTATCTGTCAGACTTACAGAACATAAAAGCTATCCTAAGTACACTGACCTAGATAGCACTAAGAAGACTTAAGCAGCGTACGAGCATACTCACTGTCAAAGCAAGGAAAGCGAAACAGTGATTGTCTAATCAAACTGAAAGCAACAACTCACTACCACAGTCTGAATTCCAAAATGCTACGTACTGTATATGCACATCTCATGTTATTGGAAGACGCAAAGCTCCTTTGTTTTTTTTTTTTTTCTCGGAGGCTTTTCTTAGCTACGGTTGCACAATGACATTCTGACATCATGGAGGTCAATGCAGATACTAAAGTGCTGTCGTCTTTAAGGAAAAAATAATTTTGAAACATAAAACCAGCAGAAATAATAATTAAAAATATCACATCACCTACTTAATGGCTTTCTGTTACCTTCTGAGATTAATAGCATGCATGTTGTTCAGCCGCTGCATACGTTAAATTGGTATCACCCTCTGCAGAGACTGCAGGAGTAATTGTGGGAATTAGATTTTTATAAGTGTCAAAAAAGGCTTATTTTCTGGAAAACTTAAAAACACAATAAAATATTTTGCATGTATAATGAAAAATATGCAAAGAGAAAAACATTAAAAACTACTAATCTGATTTTTTTAAAATGCCTAATAAGCAAAAATGGTTCTGTTTTCATTGTCACTGTGTCTCCAAATGGAGAATGACAGAACCATACTGCAGTTTACTATAACCTGAATTACCTTCCCAGAAGGCTAAACCAGCAGGTGAGGTAAAACAAACCATAAGATCTACCTGTTTAAAGAGTAGAATCTCCCCCACTATGTCAGTGACTTCTCTCAGCTCCCTCTCCCTCTACCTGCGAATACCGCAAGCTGATACCCAGCACGAGAACAGAATTGTGAAGATTAACGTGTTAGCTCTGAAAATATTTCACTGAAAGAATTCTTTAGGTAAATAATATTTATCATATGTATAAGAGAATATAAATGGTTTCTGGCCAACTGCAGAAATAAACAGCTCCTTGTGAGGCCAGATTTGCCCAGAGAAGCGCTATCTTTCACTCGACCTGCCAATATGGCTGAGAAAGAAAGCAGCCAAATTTTCAGACACATATTCTTTCCCTAGGAACCTGTGTACCTTATGATGTATTTTTTTCTCTAAAAGAGCACCACTTTTTTAAAGTGAAGACTAATACCAAATATCGTGTTAAATCAGAAAATGTTGCACAGCAAAAACTAGGCTGCTGTACGTACGTATTCATTTCTTGTAAAAATCAGACAATCTGATTTTGCTTCCCCCCCCCCTTTCTTTTTTAATGATTAAATAGGTATCTGTTCAGTTTGGAGGTTTTTCTTTGGGAAGTTATTTGGCATTTTGTTCTCTTTCATTTTAAAGGCTGGGAATGAGATGATCCTAACAGTCAGTGCTTTAAAATATTCAGAATCCCCTTCCATAAATAGCACATCTGTCACAGAAAGGGAACCCAGCCAACAGAAAGGCAGATCAGACCAGCAAAAACAACTGCTATTGCAATGCATGATTACAAAATAAGTTAGGGTTTTAGCAAGCCTTTATTTGTATTTTTGTTTGTTTTGAGCCTTTTTAATTAAGAGCTGTCTGATGCCACCATATATCAACTTTAAATTAAGAATATTAAATATAGGTTAGTTTTGAGGTTTATTTAATGTTCATCTCTTAGTCAAACGTATACTGTCACGTTAGTCATGCCCTGTTTAAAACCACGGTGAAAGCTCCTATAGATTTCAAGAAGGGAAGATTTGGGCTGTATTAGCAGTTTGTTAAATTATGATATTATTATTTCAGAAGCCAGTGATATTTTTGTATAAAGACAGTAATTTTCAGCAGAAGACTGATTCCTGCGGAGTCTCGCAACAAATATGTCTGCTCCTGCATTCCTGAGGTCAGCATTCTTAGTCTCCCAGAGAAGTACTGCTCTGGGACAGACACAGCAAGGTGTTTTGGCTTGTGTGATTTAGGAAACATTAACAGCCTGCTGGCAGTGAACGCAGCAGAGGAATAAACATCTCACATTGAACAGGGGAGTGAGTCTGTCGAAATCTTTATGCATACTTCTTGCTTTAATGGGCAATTTTCAGTGCTTAATAATAATTTTGCAGGCTTAAATTTGCAATGATTTTGCTTCAGATTCAACATCAGTTCAGAAAGCAGATTCTTCATCCTTCTACAGCTTCACAATACATGCCATGGTAAATAAACAAATTCAAAAAGTTGCATTTGTAAGTTGCACAAAGTAGGCCAAATTTTTCAAGGTAGAGATATATTCATATTTTGTGTAATTTCTCACTCAGCAACTTGGATTTAAGCTCTAACATGATTTGTGCCAGAACTGTTCCAGTCCCAAGGCATTGGCTCGCTTGAGTCCTGACTTCAAAATTCCCTGCCTCTGCTGGGCCAGGAGTGTCTCTGTCCATGCTATGAGCTTGTGTCAGTTCTTTATTCAATCAGCTTAAAGTCAGGCTATTTCAAGTATCCTCACTGGATCTCACAGGCCATTTGTGCTGCAGCCTTTCCCACTTTCAAGCATCCTACTTGTAAACATGCTTCCTCTTCCTTTATTTATCATCACTTATCTCTCCTCACATACTATAGCTTATCAAAATTGGTGAGGAATGAAGACTTCCAGCATCACTTTATATTGCATCATCCTCCTCGTGGTACATGGTTTCTTAGAGGAAAAGTCCTAGTCCTCCACATCAATCATTTGGCAAAAGGAGATAGGGTGTGGAATGAAAGACACATAAAGTCCCTAAACCTGTACTGATTTTTGTCTCAAAAGTATTGCCACACCTTGTCTTCCTAAGAAGGAAATACAAAGGGTAGGCTGGGAACTCTGCCAAGCACCAACCTTGTAGCAGTAAATATCTGGATGAAGATTAGGAGACTGAGAAAAAAAGTGACAAACACAGTTTTATACGGACCAGTTCACTTCTGTCTTTATTCAACACACGTCCAAGCTGGACCAAGGGAATAAACTGTCCCTCTAGCTATAGGAGACATGCTGGATGTGAGAGATGTGCTTAATAGTAATGAACATGCTTAATAAATGAATGAGCAAACATACATACACTTGGGTTCGTTGACACCTTAGTACTTACGGTTTTGGTTTTGTTTGTTTCTAAAATAGTTTGTCAAGTAAATGAGCAGCATATGGAAGTCAAAGGATAGAATCAACCCTGGCCCTCAAGAAACTGTAGTGAACTACTTGGTGATACAATCCCTCCAAACCAATGACAAGGGGTCATGAAGCACAGCTGGGAATCCAGGGTGGATGTTAAAAGGCATACCAGAACCAGCTACAGCCTTTCAGCAAACCTGCTCTTAGAATGAATCTTTCAGCCTCTGAAATTAGCTGTAATCAATTATATTTGTCTCTTCATTCCACTATTGCCATTGCAAAAAACACATTGTTGGTGAATACTCAGTTTGAAATTAAGAGTTATTTTGGAAAATTAAAAACCCACACCCTTTATTATGAACTAAATTTCTCTGACCTAACACATTCAGGAAGGCATCCCTATACCCAGGCATTCAGCCTAGTCATTAACTTGCTGGTCAAATGCCTTCTGTCCCAAATCCTACTGCTACATCCTACACGATTTAGAAGCTACCTTCTTCAGTACTAAAGCTCCACTTTGGGCTGTAGAAAAGAAGGGGATGGAAAGGAAAAAAGGACTCATGATAGAACCTCCACAGTTTGCCTTTCTAGAGCCAAAGTAAAGCACATTTGTACCTGACCCAGCCAACATGCCCTGGAGTTCCATTTGTGTACACAGGGAGCTTAAGTTGCCCCAGGGATACAGACTGACTCAGTTGAGTGCTGACAGTTTTCCCAGACTTCCCCACAATTCCTTCTGTGTCTCTGTATGGCTGAACAAAGTCTTCCATTATTTGCTGGGACAGAAAACAATTGCTCTTAGTTATTCCTGTAATGATTTACACACCTTCATTTTTAGTTGTCACACTCCCATAAACAGGCCACCAAAAATAATATGTAAGCGGTCTAAGATGCTGTTCCTGTTAGATGGGGTTGAACAAAAAGCAGAGCAGCATTTAAAGGCAATTCCTTTTATAAAAGGCAAATACAGAGACTCTACAAAAATAGCAAGTATCTGAATATTCTGAAATGTATTCTGAGATGCTCCATTGTATCAATGTGTTATGAACATGCATTATGGGCATGCCTAAACTTCA